AACAAGATACGATTAAATAAAATAACAGAACATATGGGATTAATTGAAATAGAGACTGGGCCGACCACCAAACTCCACATTTTCTGACACAATACCGACACAGTACCTAGTTGTAGTAAAAAGAACATCGTAATTTTATGATGGTATGCACACACAATTAATATTTAAGAGAAGTACAGTCACCGGTTAATGTCCATTCAAATAATGGACTCGACCCCCCCCCCCCCTTCCCACGCTCGCTGGCTCCTCCCTCTCTGAGAAATGTTTGGGAAAACATACTAGGCTTACATGTTTAGTAATAAATAATACCTCAGACTAAAGTTAGGATAATATAATTGACCTTGCTGGATTCCTTGCAAGACCAGGAATATTTTGAATATAAACGTCATATATTTTGCACAAAAGATAAAATTTTGGCTCTTTCTAATGAAAATTCTTACATTAGATCTAAAATTTGTTTGTCTAATGCAAATTCCATGATGTTTATATTTAAAATAATCACAATCTTATAAGAATTCCAGCAATGTAAATTATATTCTGGCCAGGTAATTTGTATGAATTTTATGAGCTTAACAAATATCTTCAGTAAATAAAAAAATTATACTTCACCCGCATAAATGACCAAATTTAGTATAAATGACCAAATTTACCGCGTAAATCAAGCATTTCATTTCTGGCAAGGCACCGCGTAAATGCGTAAATGACAAAACGCGTAAACCAAAACCTTGTAAATCCAGACTCGACTGTACCCAGTATCCCATTGAAATAATAGATTCGGTTAACGAACGACTCTGTGGAACGAATTGTGTTCGTTAACCGAGGGACCACTGTAGTATATTCTGCCTTTGTGCATTAAGTAACTCATTATTTAAATTGTTATGGAACTACCAGTGACTACACAGATACCATAAATACTGTAACTTAATACAGTATGTTGAGAAAGATCATTGTTAGCTACTAGTGTTTTACTTGAAGAACAACGGGTCAGGTGTGGTGGTGTTGGATACTGTACAGGCTTGCACTTAAAAATCCAAGCATCAGTTATCGGAAAACTGAAAATATGATGAAGAAAATGTGAGTGGTGGCATTTTAACTACTGTATACAGTGTACTGCACTCAGGTATAGTCCAAATTTTTATGATAAAATTTTAAGCAAAAAGTAGTGGGCTAGATTATATGCACAGTATTTTTGAGGGGTTAAGGTTCATGCCTCTCTGTGGGTCATTTATTTACGGTGAACAATAACTACCCAGTGCAATGCATGTTCACGGTAGGTTAACTTTGCTAGTAAGTTCCTTAATGCTACATGAAGAGCAGAATCTCATGCACCATTTATACCACTTTAAATTTACAAATACCTGTACCTTACAGATAAGGAATTACAGATAATTTTCTTTTCTTTTGCATCTGTTTACATCATTGGAATTTTTTCAACCTGTAGTTACTTATTTATGCAGTGGCATTCTTCCTCTTTGAATAAAATACTTATTATATACTAATGTAGAGTTTTTAGTTCTATGGGAAGTTGTGTCTAGATAATTCAGCTCATATTCTTCTGAGAACTCAATCCTGTATATATCTCAATACCATACTGAACTGCCTTTTTGAAAAACTAGTTCAGTTATTTGCATCCTCTTTTTTAAACACTGAGGAGAAGAATTAGTTTAGTGCCTCAGCTTTGTCCTGGCCACATAACTTCCACCTGCAAACCTCAGTTCAGATACACCCACACACTTTCTTAATATTGACTTTCAAAAAGAGGGCCAACAGACTGTACCAGCACTCAGGCACCTCATGTACCAAGATATTAGAATTTTTCCAACTGCTTAGTTTATACTTTGAAAGGGCAAGGGGTGATTTACTAGAAGTTTAAAAGCACTCAAAAGGGTGCACAGTAGGTGACCACCCAAGTAGAGTCAGAGGCAATCAGTACAGAAAAGTGTCAGAGGTAAGTTCTTTGGAGTAAAAATTTTGAATTCATGGAATAACCTGCCATAGTGTGTTGTGATGGCACCAAACTTGAGTTCATTTAAGACCAGACCTGACCAGCACTGGCTCATATACAGGTATATTCATGGGTCCGTATATGGTGAGTACTGTACTTGTTAATACTGTAGTGCATAACATAAGAAAAACTGACTACCTAACTGGTTAGTAAGTTGACTAGTGAAAGAGAAGTAAAACAAAAGGAAGCCTTGGGGTTCAACTGGATGTTGGTTGCACTTCTCCCTTTAGAACTCACTTTTATACTTTCTACAGTACAGTACTGTACATATTCAATACAGTACTGGATCTGAACGTAGCAACACATCTATTGATACTCAGAGAATTCTTAATTTTGGCAAGTGCTGCTCTGCTCATGTATAAAAGTTACCTGGTTATTCTTCAACTGACAAGCTTTTGTTGCAGTTTCCGGTTATCTGTGGTAGCACTAATTAGAGGTGAACTGGAAGCAACATTCATAAATGTTTTTGGGTTAAGTTTTGAAAAGCAAATGGGGTTTTCTCCATTTATTAAGAAAATAAACTATTGCACAATAACTGGGATATCACCGTCATTAACGCTATGAGCTGTGAGCATTAATAATGGACGAGGCTTGGGTATATCTAGTTTCTTAGAGCTCAGAGACGGGAGTTGAACTGGTGATAGCCAGCTACTTAATTGATGACTGCTGTCAAAGTGTGAGGGAGCAGTGGAAATACACTGTCACATATCCACTTGATGACTACTCATGGCTCATAGGAAATTTACCATGGGTGATGTAATTGTATAAACCTAATGTGTGTAACCTAGGGTTGCCATATCTGAACATTAAAAAAAGAGGACGCCCCCGAAGACATCCCCCCGCCCGGCACACACAGGCTAATATACAACATACATGGTATAGAAATCTTAAAAAAACAATACCTTTGCTTAAGGCTGAACATCTTCATTCCCTTAGCTGCAGTCTTCTTCCCCCACTGTGTGTGTGACTTGATGTGCCCATGCATACTTTTCTGCAGATCGGATCTTTTTCAGTATTGGCTGATTGCTCTTTAGAAAGGTATAAAAGTCACTGCAAGATGTTTCTCGGAAGTTGTACTGTACAGTCAGAATGCCTTTCATTGTTTCAACACTCAATTTGTTCCTTTCCTCTGTCCATTGACTTTGCATTAGTGAAAAAACTCTTTCTACATTTGCATTGTGAGATGATATAGCAAAGAAGAATTGTGCAATTCTTAGCAATTCTGAGTGGCATTCAATGTTCTTTGATTTTTCAAAGTATCTGGTCCACGTTTTATGTGTTGGCAGATTACTAAATTCTTCATCACTCTTGTAATTTTCCACAAACTGCTTCAGGTTACTAACTTGGTCAAAACACTTCATAAACGTCTACCCCCTTATCAATCAAATATTTGACAGCTAAGTTGACAACACCGTACAGGCGTACAAGTGACTTATCAGCTGACGAAAACTGAACGAGATCTCTACCGTTTCCACCTCCCCTCTCTCTCTCTCTCTCTCGTCATTACAGTTTCATGTTTTTTCCGTGGAGAAAATGATGGAAGATGAAATTCCGGATTTTTGAAGAATTTTAAAAATTCCTTCTGGATGAAGATTTCGAGACCTAAATGGAGGACATGTCCGGGAAAATACGGACGTATGGCAACCCTAATGTAACCCACAGTAAGTAGTAGGCAGTTACCAAACAGGGAGGTACTACTGCCTGGAAAGATATTGGAAGTATAATGTATTGTCTAATGGTAGACCCTGCTGCCATATAGCATCACGAAAATTTTGACCAAGTCCCCGGTTGCTGATCTGCCTTTCTGCCTCATTTACACACAATTGCAGGGTCTCAATTGTTTCTCTTACTTTGACAACACAACATACATATATTGTTTCTCACTCTTGATCTTTTTTTTTTTTTCATTTTTGTATTTCTTTATGGATCTTTATTATTATTATTATTATTACAGGTTGTACCTCTCTAGTCGGGCAATCTCGGGACCTTACCGGTGCCGGACCATGGAAATTCACCCTCAAAACACTCTACATAAAGCATAAAAACAAAGATAGGACATAAATAAATAAGAAAAAGTAAAACTGTTAAAATACTATTTCATTTACCTTTAATGCAACCATAATTCTGCTTCCAAAGTGAAGTGATGTAATGTAATTTGAGTTACATCAGGGATGTTGGCTATTGGGCAAACTAAAATCGCTCCGGACCACAGAATGCCGGACTAGAGAGGTACAACCTGTATTATTATTATTATTATTATTATTATTATTGTTACTACATTTTCGCTCCCCAGTCCCCGACGTGGGTCAGTGACCTGTGCCCAGGTGGGTTAATCCCCGTAAAAAAAAAAAAAGTACAGGGTATTACTGTGCTAGACAGGGGCTAATACAATCTTCTTAAGATATTTTTAATCAGATACTCTAGACTATTTCACTTTACTCTTAATGATTTTCCGGGAAGAATCCCCATATTTGCTGTTTGGCCACAGTTGATGTTCATTTCATCCTCCCTCATTTTCTAGTAATCACCATTTTAATATTTAAACTGTGGCTTACTCTCATCAGTTACCAAGTACAGTAACAATTAAATCTGAGAAAAACAAATAAACAATGGTGTACATGATGACTAGTACTGGTGGGAGCTGAATGTATTCAGCCCTCTAGACTTGCTCGCCATACAGAGTTGCTCAATCTCAACTCGTGTATAGAATGGAATTTCATAATGAAACCATCATTTCTCTTGTACTGTGCAATATTGCATTCATTTCTTATTTCACATTTATTGATTTGTCAATACTGTGCTGTAGAATGTTCCATATGTGTGTTTTATTTACAAAATCTTCGTGTCCTCAGGTTGACTTTGCACTTACAGTTTAGTACATATACAGGGTACTGTATTTCAGTTTGTGGGAGCAGGTGACACATGAATTAGTTGTGTCCCTAATATATTTAAACCAATAAGGTTGATTTTATTTCTAATGATGGTGCTTTTACAGGATGTGGATTAACTACAGCTGCTCTCTGCTATGGGTTGTGGAGTTTTAGCACTGGCAAACGCAAGTCATCGCAGAACATGATGAGGCTCCGTGTATTTGCACAAGGCTTTACTATTGTTGCTCTGATGTTGGGTATTGTGAAAACTTCACTTAAATGATGAATTAGCTGAGTATTGTTCAGTTAAAGTGACAAAATCTAGTGTGTATGTATGTATGTACAATAAGTTCTCATAAAGAGTCGCAAGGAATTTTAGTTTTATTTGAACTATATTTAGTGGTAATAAATAGAATACATTTTAACACTGTCAATACAGTGTTATAAATGTAAAGTCATGTGAGTGATATTATGGTACTGGTATTTAAATGAGAAAAAATCCAAATATCATTAGGTAAAAAAATTATTGAAGTCTTCCTATAATGTTTTGTCAACACAATACCTGTACTGTACAGTATCAGGCCTCGCTGCTGCACATCGTTAAGATCTCAAGAGTTTGTTTGTTTGTTTATTAATACAGTATCGCACATGTTTATGCATCAGATTATTACTCTAATGCCTTTTCTATAAGTTATTGTGTACAGCACAGTTTATACACAGTATTATATTGTTATAGATGTAATGTTTTGTAATTTCCAGTATAAATACAGTTATGTATCCATTACTCTAATTTAAAGCCTGTCGTCATCCACTAAGCAATTCGTAATACACTTAACAAAGATGAAGACCGAAAATACTGTTGCACCCTCTTAAGGATTCACCTCCCAATCCTAATGTGAAACCTTGGTGAACCCAAAGACCCAAACTACTTCATCGGCTTTTAGTCAGTTCAGGAAAGATGTGAACAGAATAAAGCTCTTAAGAGTGAGGGATGAACCTAGAAAGAAGTGTTTAGTTCCTATGTTCCAAGCAGAAAACAGAAGTCCTTTGACTAGATAGTTGGACTTTATAGGAAACCAGCTACTAGTTGAAGTGACTGACATCTCATTCCCTGTGGCACAATGTGTTTAAGGGATGTTTTCATATCAGGTAAAGATTCTGTGAGAGAGTAGTTACAGAACTTGATATGTATATTTTACTCACCTTTTGGGTTCACAAAGTGGTAATTTGAATCATTTTGGAAGAACTTCCATGGTTATTTGGTGAATCCAGTACTGTACAATATTGGTTTTAGTATTTATAATCGTAATTTGCTTTTCTAATACAACCATAGCTGCTAATTCTTTTGCATATTGACCATTTTTTTCTGGGGGATAGCTGTGATGGACCTTACGTGGAATGGATTTGTTAGTTTTTGGGCCTCTTCAAGGGAGGTGTTATGCCTATCACGACTTAGGAGAGATTTTACTTAGTAAACCCTAAAGCCTCTTTGTATTTCCTGTAGAGGACCATAAAGCCACACAGAATCAATAACAATAATTCCTGGATTACCCCTGCCCTCGCTAATAAAAAAAAAAACTATAGTTAGTTGATAATATTGTAATTGCCATGTTTATTATAAAACTTTAATATAATACAAAAATATACAACACAGGTTTACCTTACATCATGATTACAGTGGGTGGGTACTTTGCCGACAAATATTCTCAGCAATGGCTACACACTGGACATTCAAAACTAATTAAATTACCCACCTGAGTCAGAATAATTTAATTAAATAGATACTACTGGTATAGAACCCAAAATGTGGTGCAGTATGTATAAGGGAAAAACCTGACTGTGTGCCACTCCAGTAAACAATTACACCATCTCCTTCTCCAGTCACCAGTGACCATTCCACCTCCACCTGACAGTGGTCAGGTCAGTAACACGAGACTCACTAATCCCCTACCACACCTTCATCGCAACATTTCTTACATTTTTTTCATAAAAGTATTGAGCCACCGTCATTATTATCATGTTTTAGTGACTAAAGTGAGCAGTGTAACTTTGAAAATGTTTGGCAAGCATTTTGCTCACGATCTTTAAGGCCACTCTTCAGACTCCCCAGAGTGTGTGTGGGACTCAGGTTGATGTCTCCACTCCACCTTAAGATTCCCCTTAGCCCTGAAAGGGACATGTGATGATGACTAGACTACTCTTAATGAAGTGGTGAGTGTTTTTTAATTTTTGTAGTGCTAGTAGCATTCTAGGATTTTTTTTTTTCAGTGATACACATGGGTGTCTAACTGGCCAGAAACCTATCCCATTGAACCCCATGTTATAATGAAGCTGATTTAGGACATTTCGATCAGCGATGGGGTTTTGAGGAACCTAACCCCAGTGAATATTGTACTGTATTGACAGATGTTTGTTTTTGTAAGACCTGCATCTGCTTTATCTGTTGCAGTTCTTCAGAGAGGAACAATTACCGTATTTGCCGGTGTATAAGATGCACCCTGTTTCACAAGGATATTTTTTGGGAAATTTTTTTTAGTACGTTTCATCATACATTTATTGAAAGTGATTTTAAAGTGGCTTTGTAGGGGAAAACATACGAGTTTGTGCATGTAAATACAATACAGCCACACCTCAACTTACGACGGGGTTAGGGACCCAAATCCAGGTCGTAAGTCGAATTGGTCGTAAGTCGAAAATGCGAAGTTAATATATAGAAAATCTAAAATGGGTGTCTCTTTTTCTTCTCAGCTCCACAAAACTCTCACTTTTAAGCATGCCAGCCATTTTCAAGGGAATTACAAACAAAAATTTTGTCAGTACACAGCGCAATCACTAACATCGGGACTCGAATATTTGGTACGACTGGGGCGGTCGTATGTCCGGGTGGTCGTAAGTCGAGTAGTAGCTGTATACACTGGAATAAAGTAGGAAATCATATATAGTAACATTATACTAACCCAATTCTACCTCTGATCAGAGCAGCTGTGTGGCTTGTTTATATTTTGGTCAAGTGAATTACCGACAGGATGTGAAACTCGTATTTATGGCTGTGATGTTTGTGTTGCCACGATCAGCCACCAGGGTGTAGCACTATCGTTATTGTTTTGGCATCATCGACTCATTGCAAGTGGCTGACTGGCGGCTGAACTTTCTGTTAACATTTCTTTAATCTTTCTCGGGGCATTTTTCATTTAGATAATAAACAAATGTTTCTTAAAGGTAACACAGTCATTAAATAATGTAGGACATGTATCTGGTGTGGATTATGTATGCTGGGGAAGGAGGTACAGTGAAATGATGTGAGCTTCCCTGAGCCGTTAAGCCAATGTAAGCCATTATTTACCTGGTACATCTTCGGCAAATTTGCTGTAAGTTTGTGATAATAGATTGTGATAATTTGGCTTGTTTTTCAATATTTAAATATTAGTAATATTATTAGTAACACAATTTTTGTGCTTAGTGGACTACTGCTCGTCCCAGACTCCCTAGCTAGGCACCTCCGCCTACGGCGCTCGGCCTCCCATCCATAATATGGGCGCATTAGACGCAGGGTGATTTGTGATATTTTTTTTTTTTAACTCGCCTTATACTCCGGCAAATACGGTAGTCTATGATACCATGAGGTTAGGTCTAGTCTCTAAAATGCCCTATAGTACTCAGGAAGAGTGCAACTTTAAAAAATTGACTAAATTCTACAATCAATGTCAAAGTCTTACATGTAAATCTTAACTCACTCGTTATGTAGTCACTTAGTTACACATGCTAATTGCTCCTCTCTGAACAACTGCATCAGAAAAAGCAGATGCAGATTTTACAATAACAAACACACATTTTCAATCAACCGACAGTCTAACATATCTCAGTGTTAACGCTCATCGGAGCGTAATTGATTTGTGTTGGAGAATAAGACCCACAACGTTGACGCGTAGAATATAATTCGGTCAAAACCTGTTCAAGAACAATTCACATATAACAAATGCTGTTATCTCAGGACACACAGTATGAATAATACAATCAGTATACAGTACATAGCCTGTTAACATCTTAAGTATAACTCACATGTTACAACTGTTGATACATCAGGAGACAAGTTGTATAATATGATCAAAATACAGTACATAAATATACTTATTAAAGTTATTTTGAGTTTTTTAGAGGATTTAATAGTTCACAATCACACTCACGTTTTAGGGTCTAGGGTTTGACCAGCGAGAACTGGTGCAATATCCTCTTGGTATATGTTAGTCGAACGAAAGATGTTGTCTCTACTGCAGGAAGTGACAGACTGCCTTCGAGCAGTTGCAGCTGCCTGGACCGTCGCCTATTTAAAACACCTCAGCAAAATTCGTTGTCAACACTATGTCGCTCCTCTCATCCTCTCTCTCTCTCGTCTAATTTATCTTATTGTGGCTATCCCTCTCTTTCTCTCTCTCTTCTAGTTTATCTTTCTGTGGCGGTAACACTCCCCCTGTCGGGCTTCGCACGAAATCACGGCATATTATTAGATTCACTCCGACCTCTTCCAACAGGCAGAGTCTCGTCATGGGCGTATTGAGACTGAGTCCTTTGTCTTCACTTTAACACCTCGCACCAGGCCATCTTTGCTCGGTAAAGCCTCCAGTACTCTCCCTAGCATCCACTTACTCCTGGGAAGGGGTTTTCCAGATATGATCATGATATCCCCAGCGTGGAGATTACGGCGAGTTTTGAAGAACCTTTGTCGCTGACGTAATGTTGGGAGATATTCTTTTACCCACCTTTTCCAAAATTGGTCCGCAATGAATTGGGCATGCTTCCATGTTCGTCGGTACCCTTCTGTCATGGACCGATCGCCTCCGGTGGACAGTGCCTCCGGGTTCATCCGTAGTATGTGAAGCAGCGTTAGTGTTTCTAGATCCTTTGGGTCATCAGACACTGGGGTGATGGGCCTTCCGTTGATGATCCCTTCTACGGCGCAGAACACAGTGCTGAGGCGTTCATCCTCTAGTGTCTGGGTGCCCACCACTCCCTGGAGGACCTTCCTTACAGTGCGGATTTGTCGTTCCCACACTCCTCTCACGTGGGAGGCTGTCGGGGGATTGAACTGCCATTCTATATGTTTCTGTAAAAGGGAATTCCCGACCTTGTCACTGTTGTTCCAGCCGTTCACCGCCTCTCGTAACTCTCGGCTAGCTCCAATCATGTTGGTTCCCCTGTCAGACCTAACACGCTTGGGAGGTCCCCTACGGCAGGTGAATCTTGTCAGGGCATTGAGGAACGAGTCGGTGTCTAGTGAGGTGAGGACTTCTAGGTGTATGGCTCTGGTGGTCAGGCAGGTGAATAAGCATCCCCATCTCTTCGCCCGGGCTCATCCTTGTTTAACCAAAAAAGGGC